ACGTTTGAGATAAATGAATACAGGGTACATTGTTACAGTAAGAAAAAGAAAATGAAATATAATGTATGAATTTTAGTATTATTTATTATTTAGATGAATGTACATAAAATAAATATGTAGATTTGCTATCAAAATTGACTTCTCTGTTGAAAATTTAAATGAAGAACATTCAAAAAGTTCATCATTCTTATCAAAGACCTATTGGACTTTGATATACGAAAGTCATACTTCGAGCCTAAGTCTCACCTGTGAATCTGATGTCTTGACTGTGAATCTTACCCATAGACAATTTTTTATGGCGTGTGTTTTTATTAAGAAAAGAAGTCTATCAACAGATTCAAGGATTAATGTATTATTATTATTTTTATATAGCTAAAAAATCGTTTCCACGCTTCACGATTATCATCAACAAAATGTGGTTGCTTTAAACGTGAATTTATTACATTATTTACACAAGTGAAACTAATTTATTACTATAATGGCGTTGTCATGTCACCTGAAAATCAATTTTTCGTTTTTTATTGCATTCTGGAGAAAATAATTGATGATACGAGATCTAGCCTATAGCCAATTTGCTTTCATACATTCATTTCATACTTCACATTTTTTTTATTAGAGATAGTTTTTTTTATAATAATTTTTGCCTAATATAGCCAGGTACTAAATTTTCTTACCACTAACTTGACTAAATGTTTTGGGTTTCTGTATGTATTTAAATCTGGCCTTATCCAACAGCTTTGTTACTGGCTAGTATTTTTTAATCCTTTGCAATAAAACATATAATTTCCATAGTCATTCCAAAGTAATTTCTTTAAGACAAACTTCACTTAAACCTATATATGTTTGATCTACGGCTTGCATAAATTCCGTTAGGCCTGCGTTTTTATTTTTAAAGAGTTTTGTTGTTTTAAATAATTTACATGATTAAATGTAGAATGTTTATCATTACTGAATCTCAGAAAATCTTTCATAGTGTTCTAAGTTAGTCTAGTTTTGCGACAAACAGTATGAACCCCATACTATCTATGCTAATTTAGAAGGCTACACGTACGGGTCGATCTCATTACGAGTGTTTAAAATGCAATCTATGCACTGTATCTGACTTTTTTCGGCCCGTGTTGGTAGTTAGTTGTCAAGGAAACTACTATCTATGGTCTATGTGGCAGAGTGATATATTAATGGCAAAATTAGATTTTACCATGCCCTGTTTTATGTATGAGCGGTGTTGGCCTAGTGGCTTCAACGTGTGAGTCTAATTCCTGAATAGCCGTATACAAAATTCACGAGCAAGTTCTGTCTATGCGCGCATTTAACACTCGGTCGTGAATGAAGGAAAATATCGTGTGGAAACCGGCCTTCGGCCCTAAGAATTTAACAGCGTCAGGAACAGACGACTAAACTATTAGAAAATGGCCTATTAGAAATAAAATCACGAAACAGATACAGAAATCTGAGGCCCAGACTTTTAAAAGAGTTGTAGCGCCAGTTATGTAACCTAACATAAGTTAAGATAAATATATTTTAGTTAACAATTAAAAGAGTAAACAAAAGCAATCATCGCACACTTGAATTCATTTGAACCCTTTACCTCTTACCACACTCATAAATTGTAATTTAACATTCTCGTTTCCGATAATATCCAATAATATAAGTGTCACTTAGATTTACGAACTCTTCAATAAGTCAAGTTAGTTTTTTGTTAACCCAGTCACAACTGCAGCTAATGTTATCTTAGTTATAAGCTCATATTTTAAACAATTAAAGCCAGTTGACACCCAGCTTCAAACAAATTATTTAATTTAACATACAAAATATACATACAAAAACCGCCACCGAACTTACCCTGTATAAATAAAAAAATATATAATGTAGAAAACCAATTAAGCTTTGAACTAGTTTCAAGAGCTAATATTTTATCTAATTGTGTTGGTAGGCAATTTAAGAAATTTCCAAATCGGTTTCAAGGACTGGAAAGCCTACTTGCTTTTATATTAGGCCTAATTATTCCTGAATTATTGGCTCAGAAGCGAGAAATGGGGGCCCTTATTAAGTTGGAATTTATTTAACGATGTATACATTTTGTTTTATTTACAAAAGCTTTCCAATGTGCAATGTATCAGTGTGCCGAGGGCACATAAGGAAAAAATACACGTTTTAATTTCGACATACACTTATAGTCAAACATAACGATTACAAAGGAGAAAATATAATAATTCGAAAATTATAAAACTAAAGGAGAAGTGAATTCAATCATATTTATGTGTTTGCAGATCCATATCAGATGTTTGGACCCACAAGCAGTCGTCTAGCTAATTCAGGTACGTAATTGTTTATAAGATCATAGGTAAAATATAGTTTCTAATGCCTGACTACCCTAATGTCAATAAAATACACTTTCATGTTACAGTCGATCACAATGTTCACAATGTTAATTTTAAAAGAATTTCTTTTTCTACTACTTAAACTTAAAAATATACTCATGTTATTGGTCATATGTCAAGTTGTTACATTTAAAAATGAATGTTATCTTCATTACAAAATTGGAACCATAGGTAACAAAGAGATTATTTCGTAAAAAGAATGTAGGTAAACGCTTATAGTATTCATGACTACCCACAACAACGCTTTGAACAGAAAACAGTTTTTATTTAACTAACCGAAGTTTATATGATAATGACAAACAAATATAAATTTAAATCTACTTTACAAATCCGAATCAGGTCATGAAATTAAATATTTAATACATATATTCGTGCTTTGAAACAAAATTGTACAGTAATTTATACATAAAATCGTATTTCTCCAAACTAGTGTAACGCTTATTAACATATGTATTGATCCGTATAACAATACAATACAATTTTATTATTTTCGTTTCACGTTTCCCATAGTATGGGGTAGGATATGAATCAGGTGGCTAATTAAAATAGATTCTGGCCCCACCATAGGTGAAAGTGATAAAGTCAAGAGTAAGCGGGTGACTGTGAGAACAGGGGTTTTGGTTAACACGCAAAATCGCGATAACAGCCCCTGTTCGACTTAACATTTGATTGGAGATATCACGAAATGTGTTGTTAAGTGGCCAATATAACAGAATATATATAAATAAAATTACTACAAATTGAAATAAAGATCTATTATATTTTGCGCCGAGATTTCACGCGCAATAATTCGGTTGTAGCTTGATGTTATGTGTGATAAATGGCCTATCCGACACAAATAACTTTTCAGCATTTTTTCGTTCACTTGTTGGTTAATAAATAAAACTGAAACTGAGTCTTAATTGTAACTTAAGCATTATAAAAAATATGGTTTAATCTGAGACAAAAATAACTATTATTTTTCATGTTACTTCACTTCAAAGTGCAATTTTAAGGTTTTGATAGGTTAGGTATGTTTTAATTAAGTTTTATAATTAATTTTATTGATTTTTACACTCACGCCATTTTCTGAAGCGATAGACACCTCTGCTTTCGACTTTCTACGGTCGGTTCGGTCATACTCGTCGGTTAAGGGTACTATTGAGCTATCCCTTCTCTAGTACGTCCTAGTCCATCTATACCTGACCCGACCTCACCACCATCTAAGCATTCCCTTTAGTGTCCTTGCCCCTGGGTCCTCTTTAAGTTTAATAACAAAACAAGTTCAGTTTAATAATATAATATATTTGTATATATTCATTTATTTGTATTTTTTACTATTAATTTTTATCAATATAGGTGAAGTTGATTTTTCAAAAATCTTCCATATTACTTAATTAATAATTTTAATTAAGTAATATGGTTTTTAAAACATCATCGCAAGCCTTCCCTACGCCCCAATAGGTAACATGACTATAATATTACACATTTATAGAGCCTATTATTTAATACTAAATACTTTTAAAATATGATTTACATAAAACAACACCAAATTTATAACTATATAAATGTTAATGTTTAAATATAAAAATCAAATGTATTTAGTCAATTCTAAGGTAAGTATATAATTTAGCGTGATTTAACGTAACGTGGGCCGGAGTCGGGGTGTAGTAATTTCAGTGAGACAATTAAAAGCACGTGCCACCGCTGGGTGTAATTACTTTCTGCTTTTTACACGGGCATAGGCCAACTCACCTGTCTGTAACCATATTAACTTTAGACTCCGAGGGCTTAAAGCCGTTAATTACGTTAATTACGTTACGGATACTAAAGAAACAAAAACATTTGTTTTATAGACTGCATCGTAGTTGTTTATTGATAGAGAACAAATAAATTATAAACTCCAACGCAATCTGCGTTAAACAGTGAGCTATTAGCAATGTATATCGAAACTACATTGAAGTCTTGTAAGTTGAAAATGTACCTTTATGGCTCTGTCGCATATGAAATGCGAAATGCAAAAAATAATATATAGTAATTATTTATTTATAATCATTATCACTTTATCTTTACGCCAGATCATGGTAACCCCAAATCAAAATTTGTAGACAAAATTGATATGTATGTTTAAAAAAAACATGTTTTATTCAAAATAGGAAAATGATTCTTCAACATATGTAATGTATGATCATAATGTATGGCCAACCCAACCCGACCTCACCACACAAGTGGTATATGTGAATCCCTGAAAGCATGTCAGTATATTGGGCGGCTATGTTACAACACGCACGACTTAAGCTAAACGCAATCGTCTAGAATGCGAACCAAGTACTGTCCTAAAGAAAAGTTATAAATAATAAAGGTTATATAACAAGCAATTAAAATATGCGTTACCCGTAACTCCCTGTGGTAAACAAACGTTAACCTCCGCTTCAATAGCCATTTTACCTAACCTAACATAACAGGCAATTGTGTTTTTCTTATATTCCCAGATCCAGGCCTAAGTGTCATACAGACTTATCAAACTTTGTTTAATTATTTAATTGTATATATGTTCAGTATTCTCTATACTGTTCTGTGTAACATACGAAATTAGTAATTCAACATTACAAAGTCAATAACTTAATAAATATAATAAAAATGGCTTATCACAATTTCATGACGACTGTACTTCACGAAAAAGCCGAGTTCACACGAGCGTGGCATCTCGGTGATTTATACCGTGATCGATTATGTTAGTCACAACGTTTTCTCTCGCATCTCGCTTCGGTTGATGCATTGTCTGTTGTGCCCCATCGATTTTATGACTCGCAATTAATGATCGTTTGGGATTTACGACAAAATGCCACTTAATATCCCGTAGGTACACATGCTATCACAAAATAATTATAAAAGTTGAAAACTCATTGACAATTGAATGTAATGTAAATAACTTTGAGCAACTAATGATCGGTTCTTTTCTAACATTATTTGCTCGAAATTCGATTTAATATCACTATGGCAATGGTATTAAAGCCTTTTAATGTGCATTACAGTATCATTCCAAAGGCCTTTTAAATGTTTACCATTCACGTGGTGTGGAAAAAGAGAACGCCGGCAGGTTTGTGGTAGAAGCTTTTGATTGTCGGCTCTGCCGTGTTTATTCGGTTTTTAACTCTTCCTTTCTTTCATAGTTTTGATTGTCATAATACAATGTATATCATATAGACGCATTAATACCTGTTAAATATATAACATACTTAAATATTTTAAAAGTTTTAATCTCTACTATACTAGTAGATCAGACATGGTAATATTGTAAGAATTACATTCCCTCCATTTCTATTTCCCTGCCGCTAGATTCATACAACTTCCTCCCTTTAGGTTGGAGAAACTGTTCACCATCCTTCCCCCACATACCCATACACAACTATGTCGAAAGCAATTCGTTCTTTTCTGTTCAACAACAAACAAGAACAGGTTGGAAGTCTCTTTAAAATAAAAATAAAATAAGATTTATTAAATCACAAACAAAGTAAATATAACGCCTCGTACGTCTCGAATAATGATTATTGATTTGCAAGTACTAATGGTAAGAGGGCGTTCCGAAAGTAAAATGGCAGCCCAATACTTATATCGAATGTCGTGTCATGTAGTCGCTTTATCCCTAATCGATTCAAGGAACTATTATTTATTTGAAAGGCGCAATGCCGGGCGCGGTGTAACGTGGCATAACTACCGTTTTATGACTGCGTAATGATAGGGTTGGTGATAGTAAAATCTTTAGATATTGTTCAAGTCGTTAACTCTATTGTCTGTATAACAGATTTATTTAATATCAAATACTATATTTTAACATATTATTTCTATAATTATTAATTATCTATACCGAGTAAAATCTAAGTCTAAAACGTTTTAAATTTCGAATATTCGATAAATACCCCTATTATGCAATAAATAATATTTTTATTATAAGGCAACAAAAACACTAACAAATCTTAATTCGGCGTGTGTATTTTTCAGGCTCAGGACAAATTCAGTTATGGCAATTTCTGCTTGAACTACTCAGTGACTCGAGCAATGCAGGCTGCATCACTTGGGAAGGCACAAATGGAGAGTTTAAACTAACAGATCCAGATGAAGTGGCGCGGCGATGGGGTGAACGGAAGTCCAAACCAAACATGAACTACGATAAACTGAGTCGAGCCCTAAGGTAACATTAGCAATGCAGTCTTCACAGCCTTTGCGATTTAATGGGTACCCATGTATGTGTGCAATGCTGCGACGTAAAACTTTTCCAATTATAATCACTTCCTTGTGGTCGTTGTCTAATGTATTATTTTTAATAGCGTAATTCTGTACAGATATTACTACGACAAGAACATAATGACGAAGGTACACGGCAAGCGGTACGCATACAAGTTTGACTTCCAAGGGCTAGCAGCTGCAACTCAGCCGGCGGCCACAGACCAGGCGTACAAATACCAGAGCGATCTATTTATGAGCTCATATCATCATTCGGCGAAGTTGTCTTCCTTTATGGCACCTCATGCAGCGATGCCAACGTCAACAGGTAATTATGGCACACCAGTCAAGCATTTGAGCGATGTATATTAGTTTTCGAAAGATTTATACATAAAATAGTAATTAACCAAAGGTGATGAAATCAGATTTAAATTTTTAATCAATGTGATATTAATATGCGATACTTTCATTTAATTGCGTTGTGGTAATTATAAATAAATTTATAATAATGTTTATTTCCTCACAAATATGTTTTTTTTTCTGCCACTGGGACATTTTAATATAATGCACCCTTCAAATGCAGCCGGGTGTAATCTGCATTTGGTGCTAATACCCGAACATTCACTGGCACAAATATTAGCACGCTCCTCGAAACAGCTTGTCATCGCCACGAGTTTGGCTTTACGTACTTGACTTAATGGAATAAATATTTTGACTGTCGATGTAGTTCATTTCAAAAGTATATTTTAAATTGTATACGTATGCCGAATAGGAATATACATATTAACAATAATTATAATATATTACAGGAAGAATAATAATACTTGATTCGTAAGTATTCTGGAAAACATTTTTAATAACATCAAGTTAATGTATAAATCTTTTGGAAATCTGTGTGTATTGTTTGCTTACGCGAAGATGTGCTGCGAATATTTATTGTGATTTATTTTAGCAGTTTAATAAATAATGGAGGCATATAGTACATTTCAAAACTATATGTCTTCAGTAACCCTTTTTCTACAGGCACTTACGATGAGTTTGATGTGTGTTTTAGACAAATAAATTTGCACTATAAACTTAAGCGACTAAATAGCAATTATATCTATTATATTTATTATATATACGTGTAAGATACAATTAAATATAACGACGTTATGAGCCAAGCGCATTAAAAGATCACCTGCGTGTCTAAGTGAGCTCGTTCACTAACTCATTTTAGCCTTTGTTCCAGCGTCAATATTTCCATCAGCATCTTGGAGTAATTGGGGCGGTGGTGGCAGCAACCTCTACTCGCCACATTCAATGGCTCCTCCCCACGTCGCGTCGCACCTGGGCTCATATCCACATTACGCATGACCATCTTTCTGAACAGACTTACGACCTATCCAACCAGTATTAAACAATGATAAACTTTTATTTTAAAGTTCAATGGATGTGTTATAAAGTTATATTTGATCATATATTTCTATATAATTTATCCGATAAAAAATCATGTTTCTATACTCCTATTGGTACTTAAAATATTCGTCTGTTCAGATAATGCTTCCAGAGTATAGTTGATTCTGATCGAGCGAGTTGAGATCGAGTTGGCCGCGATGCCGACGGTAAATGGTCCTTGCAAGGGTGGATGACCAAAGACCAAAACCATGCTATAATAAAAGGTTTTGTCTGAGTAATCGATCTCAATGAATTATTTTTTACTTATTAACGCCAAATTAAACTTTAATAAGTACCTTATTAGGAGTGATCGACGTCGATGGCTTTGTCATTTAAGTGGAATCTAAGTCGAGACGTTGATTTTTTTTGTTTGGAAACTAAATTATAATTTTGAGGTATGAGTAAGTAACACATACTTCGCTGTTATTTTATTTATGAATATATTTAACGCAAAGATTTTATTTATGTTGATTTATTCAATTATATTTAAAAATTAGGCAATCGCAAGACTAGTCTTTTTATCAAAATTTTGTAAATAAATAATAAATACCTACTCATAAACATTAAGTAGAGGTATTATTTATGTAGGTTATTGAAATAATTAGTTGTAACATCCTATAATCAAATTAATATAATACTTAAAAATTGGTAAAGGCATATTAATTTATTTTAACAATAAATGTGGATTATTTATAAGTTATTTTGATTAAGCTTTTTCATTTGCATCAAGTTTATATCTTCTTTTATGGGAATGAAAATATCTAGTGTAAATAGGTAATATGATTAGTTATGTTATCAAGTGCAATCATAATACGTTTAATAAATAGTTATATGATTTATTTATGTACGTAACTTGTGTATATACATATGTATATCAAAAAATATAATGTCCTGTGCGCGTATATATCAAATCATATATACTTAAAAAAAGATAGCCATCACCGATACTATTTAAAATGAAGTAAGGAACTGATTGTTTTTTAGTTTGTTTTCCTACAGAACATTTAAATAAGTATTTCTGTTGGACAGCACTAAGAGGACAAAACGGTATTAATAAATATAATCCAGTTAAGACCGTGTGTCTATGATAATACCAAGAAGGCAATATTTTAAGATCCTAATTACCCTACATCCCTTAATCCGTAAGGATAAGAATATTTTTCCTTATTGAATAAAACATATTGTCTTATTTAGGGGGCGTTCCGTCTTGCGTTGTAGTTGCGGTCGGTTTTTATTCATCATAAAATACAATGAAATGTAGTAGGTATAAGTATATAATATACCAAAGAATACAATTATATATGGTGTAACCTTATGTCATTATTCTCATCACAGTCTTATCTGTTGCAACCATATGATTTTTGTATATGAAGGAACCTCGTAGCTCCGTAGAGCTCATGTTGCGTTTAACTCTACACACACACCACTTTATTATCTGTGATTGCTGAGAATTATCGTGGGATATTATTTTTAGGAAAAGATATAGTAAGTGGAATATAAACCATGTCACTATACGCACAGCATGCAATATAAATGGATCCTGAATCGTCGTTATATGAATATAGATCAAAATTCTTATTTTAAATTAACATTTTATAAGTTGTGTTCGCTTAATACAAGGGCGTCGCCGGGGTTAAGAAAGTGGCAGCTGAGAGATGTTTAAATTTTGATTGCCAATATTTTAGATTATTCGCATTCTCCATAAGATCAATGAATGAATGTGGTATGCAAATAGCCAGAATCTTTACTTTATTATTTAATACATTACTCCAACTAAAGCTTGTATTTAAAATTTGAAACGATAACACAATTACGATACAAATATTAGTTTATTATTTATAAACATATTGATTTTACTAATACGTTCATATCATTCCAATATACTTATATAATTAGTTTAATTATAATTAATAGTTACCTTTATTGTGATGATAGTGTTCCGTAAAATATTTGTTCTTTGCAATGATTACTATCCATTCTACTAGACATGTTCTGTAGATATCGTGTATTTTAAACAAATTTCTATATGGGAAAAGAACGCAATTTTGAGCAGTAATACTAGTAAAGTAGAGTTGATAATACTCATTCAAAAATTTTTTATGAAGTGTTTTATTTAAATGCATGTGTCTAATATACATTATAATTAGCCGTAGAATCATTGTATAGATGTTATAATTGTACTTGCAAAATAAAGAGAATTGAAAATATTGTAAATCATTTATTTATGCTAGTGAAATATTTTAATTAATTATCCCGTATGGGGCAACATATTTTTTTAACCCGACACCACTTGATCTACCTGACTGATAGACTTAAACAAAAATGTTAATAAAAATATTAATTTAAGTACCTAAAACATTTGGATAATTTTAATCAATTTGATTGTAAAATGGAACCGTAGACAAGTGCATAACAGCACTCTAGTACCTTGCAAGTGTTATGCATAGTTGAGCGGACTGTGGACTTGATGTGGGACTCAGCTACCTACTACAGTACCCTACCCACTAAAAGCGCACGGTGCCATTTACTTCTATTGGACGGAGCTGGTCACAATAAAGCCTTATCGCCGCATTCCAACAAAAGCTAGCCATAGAGTACCTATATGTGAAGAGACCAGTTTGTAGGCCTATATTTAGGCGATATATATAGATCGATATATATATAGATTTGAAAGTAAATATTTTTTCATCGTCGTTTATTCTCTGTTATGTGGGATTTCGAGTGACATCATCATTTCGTACAGTTAAAACGTTGGTGACTAGACCAGGGCCAATAATTTTTGAAACCAAAAAAATAATAGTAGGTTGGAAAAGGAGGAGAATATTATAGGGAAAGGGTGAGTTTTTAAGGGTCATATTCAAAAAAGGCAAATGGCAAAGTTGTAGGTAATAAAAAGATCTAAAACTTTTGTATTTACACTTTTCAATCACACATCAAAATTAATATGAAAAATTCAAAAAACCAAGTTCTTGGTTTTTTATTTTTATCCTTTACAAAAAAAAATTCACTTTTTATTATTTTTAAAGGCTACCCTGGTCTAATCAGGTTGACCGTAACTCAACCATGACCTTGAAAAAGAATAAAAATATTCTGTCGGTCAATCCAAATTAGTATAGTTGTCCCCAGCGACCCCTATTTTAGCCAGACGCATATTATATTTACCTACTATCAAAGACAATTAAACTAGAATGGTCTTTGCTACTATCTACTTAAAATACAACGTAGTTACATCTAAATAGAGTAGGGGGCGCTATCCGCATGCAAGAACTATTTACTGGACATTAATCTATTTTTTCTTGTTTTTGTATAATTATTAAACTTTCTACTACTTAATTATCATTGTTTATTTGATAATAAATCTTATTTTGGAATTGTAAAGCTATTTCCTTATATGTTACATTACTTTATAAAACAGAAAATACTCTGGCTAGGTAATTCAGTTTTGAATCAGTTTAATGAAAAATGCGTTTTTTTGCTTTTAAAAATAATAGACCGAATAGCTATTAGCTAATTTATTATGAGCTATATTATTCTTCCGCATTCAAAAGTGAAGATTGACATTCCACGCCACCTATTGTACAATGCTTCCATTAGGCATATCAAATACTTAACAGCGACTTGAGACCAAATCACTTTTTAATTTTTATTCTTTATTACATTTAATCTTAGCCATAAGCCAGTAGTACTTAAAACAATAGCTGATAATTACTGTTAAATACAGAGAAGTATTTTTTTTGCTACTAAGAGTACAATGTACTGTGTACATTAATTGACCCACGACGTAAGTTCTTGCAAAGTAACGTATCGAAACCTATACTACATTAGGTATATAGATTCAATGCGGTTTGCGACTCACTTTTAAAAAAAGTTTGTGTCGTTATAAAATTCTAAAAAGTTTTTATTTTCTTCAATATTCCATTTTAGAAAATTATGCCAATTTAGAAAATCATATGTTCATAAGTATAAGATATCATTGTCATTACACATTATTTAAGACATAAACGTGATTTTGGTGGTTTAAGGGTCAACGTATAGAATTTTTCTTAATGCATTATCTCCGCCATATCATAACAGGAGGGTGTCGTGGGCGCGCTATCCTGAAAATGGTTCCAGCAAATCAATCACCTATAAGATCTATAATAAGAATGAATCACGATGAATATACAAAGCCTTTTGATAATCTACCTTTCTCTGCTCCTAACAGGTGGTTATCCTAAAAATATATTATGTGATAGAAGAGATAAGTTTATTTTTTTTTAATTAATCTTATACCAATTTTTTATTTATTTGTTAATTATATGGATGCTTATGACATTTCAAATTTTAAAAAAATCCTGATTTATTTTTCTCAAAGGTCAAGCAATACAAATTGTGATGTAGTATCAATCCAATTATAAAGTTACAAGCAGCATAACACTTAATATTAATGAAAAATTTACTTTCAGGTATGTCCTTACAGCAGTATTCTGCGTCTTATTTGGAGTAGGTTGGTGGGCTCCATTTGCTATTGTTTGGTATGCTATGGCAAAGCGTACAATGTGATGTAAAATTTTGTACACAGTAAAAATAAATAAAATACTAAATATCTTTCAAACCCCTTTGTCTCATTCACATTGCTACAAATATTATAAAATGCTGCAATTATGAAGTTGATCGAAATATTGTCTTTTATTGACATAACGTTTAACGACATTTAAAGAAAACTTTTTTACTGGATTGAAGTTATGTATTATTATAATTTGAAATGTAATTATGTATTATTATAATTTGAAATGTCGGAAAAATTTAAAATTGTGTAAATTTATAATAATACATAACTTCAATCTGGTAAAAAAGTGTTTTCTTTAGTCTGATCAACTTTTTTCTAGTAGTAGGTTTTAGTTGCATAGCCTATGCTTATATTAAGCATGATATCAGGTATACTATTTGTAGAAAACACATTTAGAATTTGACAAGGATTTAGTAATACAAGAAAAACAAGGATATTTCAACAAACTACATTTATTTTGACTATTCCATTATATTCATGGCCAAGATGGAGCATCACCTTCCTTAACTTTCCCACCAAAAAGCGCAGATTTATCCCTAAAACTTGTCATTCTTAGTGTTTCTTGGTCATCTATATACTTTCCTATGAAAAAGCCTGTAAATGGCAAAGCAAACCACATATAGCGGCTTGTGATTCCAAAGATGGCCATATTACTGTTTTTTTGATAGAGCCTTCCAGTTCCTGGTATGATTCCAGTCAAGCCAAATAAATGTTGCAGTTAGTGTAGGGAAAGTTATGCTTACTAGGTTCCTACGCAAGAACCTAAATATCGCCATAAACCTAGAAATGCAAAAAGGTTTTAGTTTATACCACTTCTATACCGGATAAACAATACTGTCCTTATATTAGTTAAAAGTTTTGTTGAATAGCTATAATGCAATTGGTTTTAAAAGTATCCAAATGGTTGAACCCTATATTGAAGTATATAACCTATGAGAAGGTCTGAGTTACATAACAAAGTCACAAACCAAGATTGACGAAAACGTACTTACTTTTAATTTTACCTTTATATCAAATTTGATAACAATAAAAATTCAATGTGAAATAGTCGCGTAAATATATTTAAAAAGATTTAGATTCCAGTGAATGCAGACATATTACAAAAAATATCCTATATATAATTGCACAATAGAACATACCTAACTCTTGTGATCAAATCGGCAATTACCACTAGGCAGAGTCAGACTATATTCTAGATGTAATTGATAGCCAGTAGGTAAATAAAAAATACTATATTGGATCGATTAGATTTCTCACTTCTTTTTTCGTAGGTATAGACTACTCAGTACTCACTAAAGAATACAGAAACAGATACAGTACTGAGTACAGTACAGTACAGATATTAATTAATATTAAATTTACTAGTCGATGAATTCATAGCACATGTCTAGTACACTTTAATATTATTGTATTATCTGTGTTCTCTATAGTCTATATTCGTTATATTCCATAGATCATTTATATATTTTTTTGAAATTAAAGGATATTAAAATACTTTATTACTTAATTACTATACTTTACTTATAGGTTACCTGTACCCTTACTTTTTTTTAAATTCATATATTCATAGCCAAAATGAATATATGTATATAAATCCAAAGAGTTTAGAATAGTACCCGTGTGGGGCCGAATTTGCGCTTCATAGAGTTGCAAGCGGTTCTCTTAAAACTTTAGGACGTCTGGACTTATGTATTATTAAAAAAAACGAGGCTTGAAAGCCAGAATCCTCATGAAGTCCTGAAAAACTCTTGAATGAGGGATTTTTCTGACAGCTATTAAAAAAAAAGATAGTTCTAAAAGCTACGATGAGATGGCGCTTGATCGCAAGGGTTTACCTTTTTTTCTTATTGCTTGCCATAGATAAAAACTTGGTGGTTACGCGAAGGTTCTGTTCTCCTCTGTTTTGTTATTATTACGACGACCCTGGCTTTTTCTTTAGACTGTTCTGGCTTCTTAACTCGACTGACCTTCGCGTGCACCCTGGACGTTTGCTTGCCGTTACGATTGACCCCTGCCTGTTTATTGGACTTCGATCTCATGATGAGTTTACCATCATCCGTGAGAAAAGATTACGGTTCTTGGTCTGTGACAGACCTGAAAAACAAGCTCCGAAAACGCAATGCAAGACTTGTTGGAAAGAAAGCGACGCTCGTCTAGAGGTATGTAGAGTTTGTTTCTGCAAAAATATCACTTATTGACCATTTGATAGATAGATAGACAGAGAACGCTTTATTGCACACCAAAATCTAAGTCATAAAGAATAGGTATACAATCGGCAGTATTATCATATTGCGACATATAAGTTTAACCTTGGTTATTAACAATGTACTCAAATGTAGTTGAGCATTGCGTGCAGTACACTGTACAGCCTAACTGTTGGTCTGGTCGCTCGCTATTTCGTTCGAGATTGATATAGCCTTCATTGACGAATTGTTACCATTATATGGTATTTTATAAGTACCTACATATTAAGGTACATACATTTAATAACTATCTGTTTAAAAAACAAAAACCCTTACTTGAAAATGCCATCTATTGACTAATTTGGAACTACTTTTCTTAGCTGTCAGAAAAATCCCTCATTGTTGCAGACAATCTGCATGTCTGTCTTCAATACTTATAATATAATAATATTTATTAATTTGACTTGACCTATATTCGAAACGTATTATTGAGATAGACGAAGTTGTTGCCCGCTTCTTTCCGTTTCGTTCTTTCTTTTACGTCATTTCTTATGCTTCCGTCTCTTTCTAACATTTCCTCGCCCCATCAGCAGGGTGGGTAGAGGCCGTCGGACGGTCTTGCCATTCCGTGTTCATCGGCGTCTTGTTTCCCGTCGTTGAACTATCTACCCACTTTGATTTAGTGTTAGTATGCAATACAAGTACGGTTTATTTTGTTGAGTTTATTGTGAGTGAATATTATGGTTATTATATAATACGTTGAGTGCTAGTACATTATTTGAGGCAATCAAGATGAAAACTAAACTCAGCCAGCTCCATACTCTCACCAGGCGCCTCGTCGAGGCCCACGCCATGAATCTTGGCAAGTGGTGGATGCACGTGTGGTAGCTATTCACACTATTGATTTATTTAGCTACTCACTAAGTACCTACATCTATTATAAGTTTAACGTGATTGGAGTAAATATATCGTATCATGCCGGTATAAATATAATTTAATTTAAGGTTTATTATTTCTAAGGTGTCCTCTAAGTTCTAAGTTGTCATTAATTGTTTGTAACTCCTCATCCGATCCCCCTTTTGGTTCCAAATGATTGGTTCCATTTTATATAATTTCATTTAAACGATACACTAAAGCGAAAAAAAGTGGTAATAGCCTAAGTCCGTCGCGAAGGCACCAAAGAAGCAAGGAATAAATTCGATTGCGCTTCTGAACATTGTTTATCTATGTTTTTCAAATTCTGGAGCAGATCTAGATATTCATTTCAGAACTGTGGAACTATATACCAAACGGATTTTTCCTCCGCCCTTTTTCGTACCCAAGATTCTAAATCATCTACACCAATCTCAACGAACTCATTTGACAGCAGTTCCTCGTTAGGAGCGAGTTTTCTGGCACGCAGACTTGAAATCACGAGAACTAGAGCCACCGTCGCACATGTCAACGTACTAACCACCACTGAACGTAAAACAGATCTTAACCGAAGTGTGAAGTGGAAATGAGGATGTCGGATAAGTTTTTGGACAGATGTACAAGTTGGTCGTCTTGGCAAGTATACAATACGTGTCAAAACGACCAATTTGTCATCCTTGAAAAGGACTAGTAGCAGCTAGTTCATATGGCTTGAATGGTGTCAATGACTTTTTCAAAACCCATTGGAAGCTAAGTTGCTAGATTCAAATCTGATTTATAGTTCTATTCTCTTGCAAAAATCATAGTGATTTCGGTATATAATCCAGACATTTCGTGATTTGGGGTCAGATGTTATCATTAAGAAAATTGTTACATCAAGTTATGCTCAAAATAAAAAGACGAAAAGCAATAAGCCTCCTCTTGAATATTGATTATACTTTGTCATCATATTGTTACCAAGTTGATTTAAATAACTAATTTCAAGTTTAAAGCCTCGCTGCCATCATACTACTTTGTTCTGGACGTTGAGTTCAAGAATTACCGTTTCATCATGTTGATCCTGAGAATTTTGTGAAAGGTGTTTATCGCTGTCGAGTAATTTTTTGGCTTGTTTTCGGATCCAATACTTTTCATTCTTCTAACCATCTTCAATCTAGGTAGAACATTTGGAAAATAATGATCATCGGAATTTAGATCCAATTTTTTGCAACTATCGTGTATTTATTATACCAAGTGAATTTTATCAAAATTTGTATAAAATTCGAAACCGTTAACTATGATAAATTCTCATTTAAAAAACTACTGTGGGCTTAGTCAAGATGCCCAATAGCAGTAGTGTATGTAGAAAGTCGAAAACTAAATTTGTATGAAAATTACAGTTCGTGTCGACAAATTTAGTTTTCGACTTTCTACATACACGACTCCTAAGGCATCTTTACTAAGCCCACTAATTTTTTTTTTTTTTTTTTTTTTTTTTTTTTTTATTGAACTACTATATTGCATCTATGAATACTGTATTTCTTGAATAAAAAAAAAAAAAAAAAAAAAGAAATATATAGCGCGATGGTAACACTGTATAGTCAGTCATTATAGAGCCAATGGACTTTGTATCCGGCTAATAAATAAATTAAAAAAAAAAAGTCATTATAGAGTAAGATTTTTTGTGTAATCACTCATCTGTGGTTTAGGTTATGCCTTTGCATTCTGATTTCTGATATCTGATAATCTGAATGTTCAGTTTGTTCGGGTGGTGGCTTGAATTGTAATGAAGTATTTTTGAGTAAATTCTATTGGTGATGTTGACTTTAGGATTATCGTTATTTGACTTAAAATCTGCAAAGAAAAGGCCACTTTATTTAATTTTAGTCATCCCTGGAAAATTAAGAAAGCTTCAAACGTGTTTGAAGCTTTCGTACTGGCATTAATGGAACTATGAACCTGGACTCTTTAACGTTTAGCTTATTACAAATTAATAATCTCGTGGCTAATTTAAATAAGAAGAATTTTAAGCAGACTAGCCAAGAGCTAGCACAGGTGAGTAAATGTGATATTGCGAAATTTTCTTTGTTCTTTGACGCCATATTGCCAACTGTGTTCACGGAATGGCGGGATTAGGTGTGAGGCACAATATAGAAAACAGTATAATTTGTGTGTTGTTCCTTGCTTTAAATACGTATTGAGATAAGGATAATGTTACATATTTTATAAGGTTGTAAAATTTCAGGTATTAGGCATATTAGGCAACAGTTTTCTCAGTATTAAATCGAAACTATATGTTCTAAAACTATATATTGACGGAAATGCGCGATCCATGGTCAGATGTGATATCGTTTTATACATATTTTAGAATCATTGAGATTTAATTAAGGTATAAATAAATCATTCCATTTATTATATGTTATAATATTATTTAAGCCTTACTCACATAAAACTGTTAAAATCTTTATATTCAAACTATGAAAATATACATCTAAATTATTGATAAATACAACAAATCAATGCTTATCTGAACAATAATTTCAGTGCTCTAGTTAAAAGGTCTGGAGGAAACTACATAAAGTGCTAAAATAGAAAGTTCTTAAGCACCAGGCTTATATTACCGGCCCATAATAATTAGGTTGAAGGTTGTACAACAAGACAATAGCTTTAGATATAGCATACTTATTTATATTATATGGACTTTAAGGCCCAAAATATTGTGTAAATCAATCTTCTCTTTCTCCCAATCCAACTGAGAGCGTGAATATGAATGATACTAGAAATGTAGGAATTATAAGTATTTGTTTATAATGCAGTTCATATGTTATTGCTATTGAGACAAGCGTTTCGGCCAATATATAGTTTGGTTATGTATTAGTTTCTCTTGAAGCATATATTTGATTCACTATTCTGTGACTAATAATATTTTCATTTAGTTTCTAAAACTATATATAATTTGTATTGCTTACTCCTAGTAGGTATTTAATTTCATTTATGATCATAATTGATACAAATATATGTATACTATCTAAAACTACAGTCAACATCTGTTATAACAACATCAAAGGGACTATGAATATTTGGTCGTAAAACCCGATAGTCGTAATAGCAGAATTCAGCTAGGATCTTTGATATTGGTCAATATACCCGGTATGTTGTACTAAACGATGTTGTTGTAAACAGTTTTGACATAATAATTAATTTGTTTGTTAACAACATTATTACTATATCACCATGTGTGCCAAATTATCTTTTATTTAACACGATTCCTTGTAGCTTGAAAACAATTACTAAAAAAAATCCATCCTTACACATACATTTTATAACTGGAGCTAATTATAAGATTTATGGCCTACCTTTTTCTTTTTAATTTTATATATATATATGAAAATTCAAATGACATATTCAAGAACAATGTTATTGTATATCCTGTTTAATTGAAAGAGTAATTTTCCGAGTCATTTAACTTCACTGTTTAGGATAGGATATATTAATTCTTTTAAAGTATTTTAAAGCAGGCTCGAATAGTTACATTATTATTCTTATACATTAGAAAAATATTCATGTAAAGAGAAAACCAAATTTGAACTATTACATGAATTATAGTTGCCATTGTTCATAATTAGAAATAATAATAATATAGCTTAGATACTAAACCATAACTACCAACACAAACATAAGCTATTGACTTGAATAAATAATATGTTAGTACCTATGTACTACATGCTTCTTAGATTTTCTAGGTTCTTTTTGCTCTCTGTTATATACTTCAAATTTATTTAATTTTCATTTAACTTTTTTTAATTGATTAGATAATATTACATAATATAAAATTATTGTGTCACAATGTTTGTTCCCATACTCCTCCGAAATGGCTCAACTGATTCTTGTGATATTTTTTATGCATATTCAGTAAGTTTGAGAATCTGCTACTATCTTTCAAACCCCTAAGTGATAAGGGGTGTCCACCCCAAAAATTTTGTTTTTATTTTTTTCTGATACAGCATACAAAATACATTTACATAAAAGTTTTCCCGGTTGATTTGTAACAAACTTGTCCTTGTCCTGCCTTTCTCTGCAGAAATGTGAAACTTTTCTTGGCATCCCTGAAATGTTCCATCCATTCATGCATATATCAAATGTAAAGTCTTTGGGAGCAAAGCTTGACTACTCACTGACATAACCTATTAGTTACCACACCAATGTGTTGTACCTATCGATATACAAAACAAGACAAAAATCAACAATAACATTGCTTGCATGTGATCATTCAGGTTAGGTTAACATTATTTAAGACACTGCAAACTTTCATAAAAAAAGACAGTAATAATATAAATATAAAGGGAAAAATAGGGAACTTACATTGTTCACAAACTTTTTCACTCAGAACCAGCTTTATTGGATCAAATTTTATAATTTCTGCTTATTCTAAATTTATCATATTATACAATACATCGAAAAAAAAAGTATGCCATAATTTAATATAGATTTTCTGCAATGTTTGTGTTAAGGCTAAATATTATATAGCTTGGCTTATAAATTATTTTAAAAGTATAGTATAAATTATTGATAATTCATTGTAATATTGGTTTAGTATCTTTAATGTTTTATACATATATTTGTAATTAAGTATTTTATTGTACAGATTGTCACCATCCATGGTTTAGAAGCAGAGAACCATGTGCTAAGGAGTTTATTAAGTGAAGCAGTTAAAACTTCGTGGGATAACGAACGTTCTGGAATAGCTAACACTGGTCTCCATGCATCCTTACTGGCCCAGCTATTGACTTCTCTTCTGGATCATCCCGCCAAGTCAACAATTATTTGTCGAACTATAGACAATCCTGCTAAGGCACTACAAAAGGTTACATGCTATTTTTAACTTCAATGTAACTTTAATTAAATAGCAGCACAAAAAGCATTGCTAAATTTAAATCATCTCTTTGTTGGTCAATTAAGTTTTAGCTTTCTTTATTAACGTTTTTGACTAACTTTCTATCAACCTAATAAAGTTTATACTAACTTGTGTCTACTCCGTATTTGAGTCATTTGTTGTCTTGTCTTTTTGAGAATAATATTATTGTCAGTGAAACTTGGAATTGCATTAATAAAAACTGTCTAGATGTGGCAAATCAACAGCAAAGTATTTTTAATGTGAAGCATGTTTAAAGTAAAGAAGAATGCCTGTATTTTTATACATGAGTTTGTGGTCAGAAAGTTGTTTAATGAATAAGTCCTGTAGAATAACAATATTCTATTATAAAGGAATTTATTTTCTTTTGTTTTATAAAATGAATTTAGATTCAAGTACCAGTTAATGTTTTCAACTCTTGTTTTAACAGTTGTACATTGCACTTCTGTTCTATATAAACTAAGAGTTTGTTTGCAATACATCAATTATCACAATGAGACGTAAATACTCTCTCATCTTACTTTTAGAAAATATTAAAAGTAATAGCCATATGAATATAGATAACATGTAAAAATTATCAATTTCGTTTCAATTGTAGTTTTATTAATTAGTTTCACATTTAAATGTAATATTTTCTCTGTTCATTTTCAGTTAATATATTTAATTCAATAAAACATTTATTGCCACAACTCTTAGTTTTGGGCCTTGGCTCTTGGGCATTGTTCTTTATGTTTGCATCATTATGTGTTGTCTGTTTGTCCTTTTCTGTTTTTCAACTTTTCAAACTGCCTTACTGAATCAATATTAATAATAATCCATCATATTAATAAAACTAACACTTAACTCATAATATTGAAAAGGTTTTAATAATTAGAACATTAAACATTTAATTTTATCATACCTATAATACAAAAATTTAAAAAAAGTCGCCTAAATGTCCCAATTATTACATGGAAACTATATAGGCTTAGAAACAGTTTGAAATTGTTACTTCAAATGGCAACTTGATAAAATTTATTTAAATATCTAAACTATCCTATAAATCTTGTCAGTAGTGAATGTGTGTGAGAAGCTAAGACATTAAAAAATTATACTAATTGCTTGTCAACACTGGTTGAGCCTTGTTGATTAGATACATATTTCATTTCCAAGCATTCATGCATTTTGCCAAGTTGAGTGTTTAAAAGGCTTACATAGAAAATATATTATTATTGCTTACATACTCCTATTTTTTTTATTTTCTTGTAAAAGAGTGGGTAGTATGAAAATCTTTGTTATTACTTATTTTCTATATTATGTAGTACTATGTTAAGTGGTGGTTAATTAAGTTGTAAAGAATCATCTTTGAGCAATATCTTTTTAAATGCAGCTAGTCCGCTGGACAGGGACATAACAGGCGACATGCAGATGTAGGTACTTAATTTTTAATACAAAATGAATAAAATTTTATTCTATGTGTGCTTGTTTGAGTTGAGTGAGTGAAAGAAAAAGCCGCTGAATGTTATATTGTATATTATTTGGGGTCAAAATAAAGTTTCTATTCATTTTGCCAATACAAATGTCTTATTTGTTTCGCTCTATTTCATCAGCAGTATTTTATCTGTTACAGACTCTTAAAGCATCAAATACATTACTTCCGCGTCTTGCCCGATTGTTAAAGTTGACAACAGCTCAAGATGTTGCTTTGTCACTTGTCTTAAGAAAGCACTCTTCGAAGCCTGAGATAGCGACATTTGCAAAGCAACATCTCAAAAGACGTTTCTCGGATCTAGTCCAGTCTTATCTTGACGCAGGTACACAATTTTTAATTTTTCAGTTGCTGAATGCACTATAAGAATGACTAACCCTTCCCTTAGTAGTGTGACACTACTAAAGCTATGCATGTCTGTCGCACTGTGTTTCATATCCACATAATTCTTTTTGCGAGGGTAATCTCTGTGCTACTAATTAATGTTATTCCAATAAATATTGAGTACCTTTTTTGAGCCGGTTTGTAGTAAATAATGTTGACAATATATAGATGAGTTAAATGATAATGACTACAATTAACATATAAATACAAAAAAAAACATTATTTCAGAATATTTTAGTACAAATAGATTTCCTTTTCAGAACGAGGTTATCATGCTGAGCGTGCAGGTCTTCAGGAATGCAGTCCTGAAGTATTGCAGACTCTATTAACGAGCCTCACGTATGACAATTTGAAAATTGCAGCAGTAACAAAAGAGTTGTTTTTTAAGAGACTTCGAGTCGATTTTCCTCGGGAAGTGGTACCGATTGTGCTAGCTCCTCTCCTGTATCCGGACGATACGAAAAAGCCTCTTGTAGAAATGGCTACAGCGAGCGATATGGCGGGAACCCTGATGGATAATTCTCTGGCAGAGGTTATTCGTGATCTTGGGTATGGATTCACAACATCAGTTGAAGATTGCAAAACGCACATGTTAAATTTTGGTGCAAGGGAACCAACAGCAATTGATGTTGCTAGAATTATATCTTTAATGATCAGATATCATGCTACAGTTCAAGACACTCCACAAATACAAAATCCTGGTAATTTCTGGGTGAACCATGAGGCCAAGAAAGAATCGGCCCATGGTCATGGCGAGACATGGAATGCAGAGGTATTTGTACAAACGTTAAAAGAATTGGCGTCTAACTTGAATTGGAAAGAAGTAATCTTACAACTGGACCATCCAGAATTTATTGTGCCTGATAGGCAAGGACTGAGCTTATTGTTCACTATACTACGACTAGGACTTCAAAGCGCAGGCTACCCAGCAAATATATTCCCTGTCGAATATCTTTGCAGACGATGGACGAACTTGGAAGGCCAGATGAGTTTAATCACAAATATTTTGAAGCACCCTGATGTGTTTAGTTTTGCCGATTACCCATTCCATCCAGTGTCTATCGATTTACTAAAATCACCCCCTGAAACTGATAATAAGGAAGTAGCAACGTGGCGATGTCTCTATTTAGTGGAACTACTTCTATTCGCCTCTGAACGAGGTTATTACTTACAAGTACACGAGCTTTTCAAGTTTCCACTTCAGCATTGTCCAGACATCTTACTATTGGCTTTACTACAGATTAATCCACCTATCACTGTATTTAGACAAGAGTTATTGACAACTCTAATCCCGATTTTCCTAGGAAATCATCCCAATTCCGGTATAATATTACAACATGCCTGGCATACTCAGAACCCGAACATAAAACCTATAATAATGCATGCCATGGCGGACTGGTATATGCGAGGTGACTGCGATCAATCGAAATTGTCAAGAATATTGGATGTGGCACAGGATCTCAAGGCACTATCGTTGCTATTAAATGTGCAATCTTTCCCATTTATCATTGACTTAGCTTGTTTGGCATCTCGAAGAGAATATTTAAAACTAGACAAATGGCTCACGGATAAGATAAGGGATCACGGCGAATCTTTTGTAACGGCAATGGTGAAATTTTTACAAAGACGGTGCCCACCAGTCATAGGAAAGGTACAAGAAGAGCAGTTGCCGAAAGCGGCACAACTGCCGCCAGAAACCATTGGTACACTGTTAGCCTGTCTACAACTATGTATCCCTAATGTGCAGCAGGAGTTACAGGAAGCAATTTATACATTGATTACAAATTGTCAAACAATGATTTTGAGTAAGGCCAGACCTAATATTGCAGGAATAGCTCGACAAACGCATGCGCGCGTAATTGAGACTCCATTCAATCCTGCTGGCTTAAGTGGCCAATTGTTTACTCCACATGTTGATCCTATAGCAACTTTAACACCTAATGTGGCCAACCTTAGCCTTGGAGCTCCTGGAAACACATTCGCGATGCCTGGCACCCTTGGACCTTTGGTCACGGCGCCTGGATCTCCTTCACGTCTTATGGGTGCGGGGCCGAATAGCCCATTTGCTATGATACCAATGCAACATGCCGCAAATGTAGCTACTATGGGAGCTTTGGCAAGAATGCCGGCTGGCCCTGCAATGGACAAGCATCGCATACCTGATCCGATACATTTTCCAGAGATTATTCATAACGTCTCAAAAGAAATTGAAGATGAGGCTAACGGGTACTTTCAAAGAATTTACAACCATCCGCCTCATCCAACACTGTCTATAGACGAAGTGCTTGAAATGTTAAAGAAATTCCAAGATTCCCCCAATAAAAGAGAACGTGAGGTATTCTCTTGTATGCTACGGAACCTGTTTGAAGAATATAAATTTTTCCCTCAATATCCAGACAAAGAGCTTCATATAACAGCACAATTGTTTGGTGGGATTATAGAAAAGGGTTTGGTACCGAGTTATGTATCCCTTGGATTAGCTCTAAGATTTGTCCTCGACGCTTTAAGAAAACCCGAAGGGTCTAAAATGTACTATTTTGGTATCGCCGCTTTGGACAGGTTTAAATCGCGCCTGAAAGATTATCATAAATACTGTGAACATGTTCGAGCTATACCTCACTTTAGTGAATTTCCTCCACATTTGATAGAATATATTGAATATGGACTTCAGAGCCAAGAACCCCCTACAAAGCCACAAGGAGCTGTACTACCAGCAGGTTTAGCAGCCATCCTAAACCAAACAGCAGTTGTGTCTATTGCTACACCATATAGGTAAGTCCTTTTAGTAAGTCGTATTTTTTTCTTAATATATTAGGTGTATGATATGTATAACAATTCTTTGTTTCTTGCAGGTCGGTTGTAGCGCACACTTCTATATCAGTAATATCTAAGGTTACCAATTGTGTTCCTGGTGGTATAGGAAGTCGGCCGTCCATTGCCAATGCAACAAACATTGATACTCTCTTGACAGCCACAGATAAAGATGATAAATTGAATTCGCCACCTGAGCCAATTCAAGATAAAACGGCTTTTATATTTAATAATCTCAGCCAATTGAATTTACAGGCGAAATGCGATGAATTAAAAGAAATTATTACAGAGGAATTTTTCCCTTGGCTCGCTCAGTATTTAGTAATGAAGAGAGCATCTATCGAACTAAACTTTCATGTTCTATATTCAAACTTCTTGGATGTGGTTAAAATAAGGAAGGTCAACAAGCTAGTGACCAAAGAAACATATCGTAATATCAGAGTACTTCTACGATCTGATAAAAGTATAGCCAACTTCTCTGACCGATCTCTGCTAAAGAATCTCGGTCATTGGTTGGGCATGCTGACATTAGCTCGTAACGTACCCATACTTCACCTAGATCTTGACTTAAAAGCACTTCTTCTGGAAGCCTATCACAAGGGCCAGCAAGAACTTTTATATGTCGTACCTTTCATAGCGAAAGTACTCGAATCTTGCGCTAAGAGTGTTGCTTTTAAGCCACCCAACCCCTGGTCCATGTCTCTGATGAATGTTCTTGCAGAATTGCATCAAGAGCCAGAATTAAAATTAAATTTAAAGTTTGAGATTGAAGTGCTTTGTAAAAACTTATCTCTTGACATTCAAGACCTTAAACCGAGTCTATATTTGAAGGATCCAGATAAAATACGAACTATTGAATTCCAATTGTCTCAACCGAAGCCGCAGCAGCCTCCGCCGCAACCGCAACCCAACGTGATGGCCTTGAATCAAGCGATTATTCAAGCTCCACAAATACAGATGATTCCACCTCAGACGCCAATGATACCTACCGAGGACATTTCCGCGGCGGCTCCGACTCCCACCAACGGCTTGCTTAACGATCCTTCATTGATGGGTGTGATTGGCATACCAGAGCCACGCTTTAATTACCTAGACGTGAATGTTTCTTCAACATCTGCTTTTGGTCAGAAGATAAGCTTCAATCCGCACATAATTCTCTTCCAAAGTTACCCACACCTCAAACAGTTTGTGAAACCGGCAATTGAGCGTTCCATTCAGGAATGGATCCATCCCGTTGTTGATCGATCTATCAAATACGCCCTGACGACGTGCGAACAGATTGTAAGGAAAGACTTCTCCTTAGACCCAGACGAGGGCCGTATGCGTACTTGTGCACATCATATGATGCGGAACTTGACAGCGGGTATGGCGATGATAACGTGTCGGGAACAAATTATTAACACGATCACGACAAACTTGAAGGCTGCGTTTATCACAGCTTTGTTATCAACAACGCCCCAGCAGGTAATAATAGGTTTATTTTGAAGGATATTTAATGTCTTATATATGTTATACTAGTGGACCCCACAGACGTTGTCCTGCATGATATTTAAAGCGATTAGGATATTAAGCAAAGTATGAAAGTACCGACTGCAGTGCCATCTGCCGGGCTGATTTGTGAATCTAAACCATTCCCAGATCCCCTTGAACACACACAAAAAATTTCATCAAAATCGGTCCAGTCGTTTGAGAGGAGTTCAGTCACATACACACGCACAGAAGAAATATATATATTAAGATATGTAAAAGAAAACTTATTTAGATTTTAAATGTATGTATGTTAATTCTTCCAGCAGGACATAATTGACAGCGCGGCGGCTATTCTCGCAGCCGAGAATATGGAGCTGGCCTGTGCTTTCATACAGAAGACGGCCGTCGAAAAGGCCCTTCCGGAACTCGACAAGAGATTATTGAACGACTACGAAATGAGAAAAATTGCGAGACAAGAAGGTCGCAGATATTACGACCCGATCGTTTTGGGATATCAAACCGAAAGGATACCTGAAAGAGTGCGTTTGCAAGTTGGTGGACCAACTGAGACGCAGATCGCTGTGTATGAAGAGTTTGCGTGTAACATTCCTGGATTTGTACCGGTGCGCGATGCTGGGATGTTTATGCCGAAGCCGTCGGCACAGGAACAAGTGCCTCAGATTACATATAGCCAAGTTATTAACCCCACGCAGGTGAATTCGTTTTTATTTTTGTAATAAATAACATATTCGGCATAAGGTTATGTACCTATGTGGTCGCCAAACTCCAAAAAAGTACATTTTTTCTTTCCATTTTTCGTCATCGTTTCTTGAAGTAGGGCGAATGGAAAAAATATATGGTGGAGTTGAGGATTTTATGTATCCATTTTGAAAGATCGATACACGATTTAAATAACTTCGCTCGATAGAAAAAAAATCCAAACAGCCAATTTTTGACACTTTGAATTTATTTTATTACGAAAATGTATACAGAACACGATTTTAGAAGTGTAAATAGGAACGGTCTTAATGAACTCTATAAATTGTAATAAAACAATTAAAGGTTAACATGTCATCAGTGTTAAATAAAGTCATTGCACAAATTTTATACAAAATTTATCTTATAATGGATACCCAGCCAGTATCAATTATTCTCTTTTTTTATTATGCTACTGTACCACAAAGAACGGTTCGGTGGCCGTCGATACATAATTCATACTAAAATAATAAGTCCTGAGTACATACCTCGTCAATGTCTCCTTACAGGAAGATAGGCACACAATATTATCAGCCGTAAGGATTTGGGAATAGTTTTAGTATGGGCACAAAAAGAGGTTAGACTGATGGTGATTGATACCTTGCCTCACAATAGTTTTTAAACACGCACTAAACACTCACTATACAATTTTAAATAGTGGACGTATCTATAATTAACAAAAAGTACATGTGTACTATCCAAATAAAAAATGCTAGATGCACGAGAACACGTAACCCGAATGAAGCTCAACAAATGACTAACAAAAAATGTGTCGATCGGCCGTGCGTAAATATTTTGCATCACCCTATTATCAATTTTATAAAATTAATAAATATAATGTATTTCGAACAGTCCCCCGTCCCAGTCAGGCGCAACATGACTGAGTCCAAAACCGGAGGCTGGGAGCAAAGTTTATGCTACTGGGAGACGTGACAAGCCCGCCACGGCTCTTTTTAAAACCGATTCCCCAACGCGGACCTCGGCGACTCGCGGGGTACCATCCGCTCCCGGGAATAGTTTAATAATGCGACCACGTCTCCAAGATAATGGTGGCATATTTGGTTCTTTGATAAGGACCAAGTCCCCAACCCTAGGCGGATCCGTTTTGTCTATCCAACGAACCCGCTGCTGCAATAAATGGAGATATTCTAAATTAAAACGTTTCCAAAAACTTTGAGATAGTTGTTGTAGCAGTTCGAAACGTGAGAGCCGATTTATCGGTGTGTCCATACATGGATATTCAGGTAACGCATTGAGAGGACCCCCAATCAAAAAATGTCCAGGAGTTAAAACTTCTAGGTCATTAGGGTCCGACGATATAGGGCAAAGTGGGCGGGAGTTCATTACAGCTTCAATGTTACAAAATACCGTTGCTAATTCTTCGAATGTAAGAATTGATTCCCCTATAATTCGTCGAAGATGAGTTTTTGCCACCTTAACTACAGCCTCAAATATTCCACCCCAAGATGGATAGCCTGATGGACTAAATTTCCATTTAATACCACGACGAGAAAGTGAATTTTCAATAGGCACTTGGTTTTCAGTCAAAAACTTATTAACTTCCCCAAGGTAACGTTCGCTTCCCTTAAAATTTGTCCCGCAGTCGGACCTAATCAAACTTGGTAACCCTCGACGACTGACAAAACGAGACAAACAAGCAATAAAAGCTTCAGTACTGAGTGATGACACCACCTCCAGGTGTACAGATTTTGTAACAAGGCAGACAAAAACACAGAGGTACCCGTTTACGATCTTGGCGTTTCGTATTGATGAAACCTTGATGGAAAATGGTCCAGCAAAATCGGTGCCTACACCTGAGAAAGGTCTAGCAGCGGTAATACGATCTGGAGGCAAGTCTCCCATTTGAGGTTGAGTCAAAGATGCTTTAAGTCGATAACAAGGAATACACTTAAAAATAACATTTCGAATAGCCCTCCTGGCTGACAAAATCCAATATTGTTGGTGAATAATAGCCAAAAGTGAATTTAAACCAACATGTGCATTCTTCGGAGTTCGATTAGGAAGCAGAAGCGGATGTTTATGATCCAATGCGCCTGTGTGCGCCAATCAAAATCAGAAACTGACATATGTCCGAGCTTAAAATACTCGTCCATAAACTCAATATACTTAGCACGAAAAGTCGAATCTCTCTTCATTCGTCTCTCCATGGATGTTAACCTTTTCTCAGCTAAAGTCCTGGAGTGACCCAAAAGAGGTCGGAATGGTAAGAAAGGTAACCGCGTGACAAACCTACCTGAACGGAGACGACCAGTGTTGTTCTGAAAGAACAATTCACATTCTTGGTGCTCCGGGTTTTCACGAGCCGCTGTGGGAGGCTCTTCGACTTCCCAAAACCGTTGAATAGCTTCAGCAAGTGAGAGTCCCACACACAAGTTACCATCTTCAACTGTAAGAGACTGTATTGGAAACACAGGACCCATAATGACATCACCAAAATCAGATGTAACTGCTACTAAGCCCCCTGGTTGTAAAAGTGTGCTTTTACTTAGTCGCAGCATGCCTAAAACTTCTGCTCCGAGTAGCAAATCAATTTGACCTGGAATATGAAGTGTACAATCCGCTAAGTTAAGACTACGTGTAAAATCTAATATCTCCGATGGTAATTTAACAAGTGGGTGTCTGCCCATAACATTATCTAAAATTATGGCAGAAGTTGTAATCTGTGGATGAGAGCATTGAACAGAAGAAAAGTTAGTGTAACTTGTCCACGCAAACCAGGAACCTTAAGACCACCTACACCAAATATACCCCCGCTAGCAGGCGAAATACGCAACTGTAACCTGTCCACCAAATCCATTGACACCAAACTTCCCTGTGCTCCAGAATCCAACATCGCACGCGTGGTTACTTGCTCACCTGATGGAGAACCAACACAAACTTGTGCGGTGGGTAACAAAACAGTAATGGGAGATGTAGGAGTTCTAGTGGGAACGTGGCCTAGTCAATATTCTTCTGGTTCAGGGACCCGCTGGCCTAAACGAGGCCACTCAGAAAAAGGCAAAGGCCTAACAAAATCACGACGTTGCTGTTCAATAACAGGTGATGCACAAAAGTCATAATTATCCTTGCTCTTAGGAAGTTGTTGCTGATCAGAGGAGACACGAGGCCTGTTATGAGACCTTAAGTTTCCCCCGCCCCTGGAGGGTGATGGCCGCCTCCGATGGTAATTATCATAACCGGATTCTGTATGGTGCCTGGAAGTATGACCAAACGTACGGGGTCTAACCTGCACATCACCAGTCCACTGATCACCTGTATTTTGAATGGCTTCAACAAACTCCCGTGCCGGTGCAGCTGATTGGGGTGAACCATTCGCATTACCGCAAAGTATAATGTGATGATTGCCATTACATTGTTTGCATGGTCGTGACACTTGGCATTGTGATGCCAGGTGATTACCTAAACAACCATAACACCACTTCCGCTGTCTGGCAATATTACGTCGTGCTTGAAAACGTAATGCCAAAAACTTTTGACATGACACCACGGTGTGATCAGGGACTCGACAATAAACACAACGTTTGCCTGGATGTTGAGTTGCCACGTTATAAACTCGCTGGTCAGGGCGTCGTACTAAGCGCATATGCTGTTGTCGCGGCCCAGTAGAAATTGGGGCCGGCGTTCTGGACGGCGCTGGAACATTATCCTGTCTGCGACACTCATCCTCTAAAAAACAAAATCAATTCATCAAACGAGGGAAGATGAGTGGATAAATCTCCACCATACGCCTGTTCAAATCGGGTGCGCATGTCTAAATTTAGTTTTTGTAACGTTATATGCAACAAAATAAAAGACCAACTATCTACAGGTAAATTTAAACCCCTTAAGGCATTAATTGCCACTAATAAAGGATTTAAAACTTGAATTCTTAAGTTGTGGCTCTGCACGTTACTCTGTAAATTTAATATGACATCTACGTGGCTATCCGCCAGCTTACGTATGTTTTGATAACGCCGCATAAGTAAATCTCTAGCTATATCATAATTATTGTCCACAAGTACTAAATGTTGGACTAACCCTTTAGCCTCCCCGGTGAGACTAGCCAACAAATATGCCAACTTTTGAGCAGATGTTAAATCAAATCTTGAGTGCACTAAACTATCAAATAAATGAATAAACGCCACCCATTGGCTTAAATCGCCACTAAAATGGGGCAAATCTAGTTTGGGTAACCTACCTATAATACCACTTGAAAAAGTTAAACTATCCTTCGATTGAAGGTTATTTGACTGATTAACCGAAGATTTAATAATCCCAACGGCTTCCCTAATTTGATCAGCCAAATCCTCAGCCTGATCCATGTCTGCAGAAACCTTGTCCATCACCTCCGGTTCTAAACCCAACTCAAGTAATGCCTGATACGATTTATATAAATCTTTCATTCTATCCTCTAACGCGTCACTTCTTGATAGAAGCGCCTGAACGCGATCTTTTCGCGAAATATTTAAAACGGCCGATCCTAGCCACCGTAATACACCAGCTATTTGTGCCTTGTGCGAGACCGCCATTATAAAAGTATATGAATACAAACAATAGCACAAAAAATTTAAGAAAAAAATAAATAATAATAACCGGCGAATATAACTAATTACAAAAAACGATTTAAAACACTATTTAAAAAAACTATAATCCCTACAAACAAAAAAAAATAAATACATTAATAAGTTATGAACCCAGGACTTATACTACCGAACAATAATTATTTACTAAAATATAACCACGCTCTGCTACCAAAAAATTATGTACCACAAAGAATGGTTCGGTGGCCGTCGATACATAATTCATACTAAAATAATAAGTCCTGAGTATATACCTCGTCAATGTCTCCTTACAGGAAGATAGGCACACAATATTATCAGCCGTAAGGATTTGGGAATAGTTTTAGTATGGGCACAAAAAGTCACTATACAATTTTAAATAGTGGACGTATCTATAATTAACAAAAAGTACATGTGTACTATCCAAATAAAAAATGCTAGATGCACGAGAACACGTAACCCGAATGAAGCTCAACAAATGACTAACAAAAAATGTGTCGATCGGCCGTGCGTAAATATTTTGCATCACCCTCATCAATTTTATAAAATTAATACATATAATGTATTTCGAACAGCTACCGTTTGCCTTGTTTGTTTTAAACAAAATGGAAATAGCGAGCAACTCCAACACAATTATTAAGCTCAACCCTACAGAAACTAAATGCTAGTATAAAATTTGCACCAATCAACAGTTGTTCTATCCATTGGTATATAAATATTTTTACAAATATATCATCTAGATAATATAACTTCTGATTTCGTTATACTCAGCATTTATTAAATTTTTCATAAATAATTTCAATATATTTTACATTCAGCAGATATATGGAACCGATGAAATGGGTGGCCTTATATCAGCAGCAGAGATATTCCTGAGTAATGCGCTTTCTGTACCATCTTTTGGCGTTCAGGCCACAAATATGCACACGCTTTTGGAGTGCCTCATAATGGCAAGAAGAAACCGTGATTTCGTTTCCGGTTATACTTTATTGCAGAGAGTGAGTATTTTTATACTTAAAGTTATCATGTTCCTAATTCCAACTTATTTGCACCTATGTATTGCTTTTGGTAATTTTAATATATTTTCATTCCATCGTTCTCTAGGTACTCTACTATATGAAGATTATTTCTGTAATTGTTAATGTTAAATAATGCATACTTCCGTTTGATCTCTTTATAATTTAATTATTCAACTCAACAATTGTGTAATTAAATAAATGTAGGATATTTTACATTTTGATTAAATTTTTAAAAAAATATATTTTTTTATAATCGGCTTATTATCTCGTAGCATTATGAAGCATCTATAGACATGCGTTACCTAGTTCTTGGAATATTTGATACGTGCGTGGTGGCTGTCTTACATAAATTATTTTAGGCAGTGGAAGGTCTACTCGATGGCCACATCGTCCGGCTGGACGGTACAAACACGGAACACGTTGAAATGATGACCCGATACAGAGATATTCATCTACGAGTATTGAAGTTACTTCAAGACGCCAGAGTGTATGGACATGCCTGGACCACGAAGCAGATAACCAGCTGTATGGTAGAGTGTCGGGATGAACTTAAATATAACCTCGAAGCCACCGACTGTCTTATTCGGAACCATCTGGTTAATCTGCCCCAAGTATGTAGCAATAGTATATATAGGATATATGCTATAATTTATAGCTTATAGCTTATTTACCGAAAAAACTAAATAGTTGTTTTTTTATTTCCAATAGCTTCCATATGCTTTTGGTAATAGATTAGAAATAAATGATGTATTTTATTCCAGTATGATCTTGCCTTAGCGCATTTGATGGATAGCGGGAACAATTATGTGGCTGTTGCCTTTGCGATGCAACTTGTACAGCTTTACTTGGTTGATGATAGGAATAATGTATATGCGAATGAGTCCGATTTATACCATATAACTGAGTGTTTAGTAAGATTAGTCTCCCATTCACGTAACCCACCACCAGAGGGCTTAGCGTCTTTAATAGAAGCAATAAGGATTAATCAGGACCCCAGTACGTATCTTGGGGAACGATCTGCTTTGGGACCTACTTCACATATTCATACCGGTATCATGCAAGTTCGTGTAAGTATTTTAATAAAATATATAAAAAAAAGAATGAATATATTTTTCTACATTTTTTTAATAATTATTTTAGAATCGTGATTTCGATGATCCTCACGGCCTTCAGGAGAAAACGGACAATCTTCTGCGCGAATGGCGTACAGTGCTTCTAAGTCCACTTACCGAAATTGAAATCGCACAAAACTTTAATCTATACGTGCATCGTATGAATCTGAATGGAATACTAAAATCTGACGATATGATCACGAGATTCTTCAGAATTGCCACTCAGATGTGTGTGGAGAATGTTTATCAGTTGCTGACGGAAGAGAGGTTGAATCCACCTCAAGTGCCCTCGAAGAAGGAGAAATTCTATGCAATGTGTGACTCTTTCATAAAACTTGTCTCGTTATTGATCAAGAATACAGCTGATGCTGGCAATCCTACGCCGAAACTCAACTTACTGAACAAGGTATGATACATTTTCGTCTAATGCAAATGTGTTTTTTTTTAAATTCATGCTTATTTAATAATTTGAGTTTTTATATGTTTACTAACCACTTAGATTGGCGTTGAATATATCTGAGGACCAATTTGTTATTTTTGTAAACCCAAATAGAAATTGTAAATAGAGCAATTTAATGGTGTCAACGAGCGACCCATCGCTGGGATTGTAGGTTCGATCCCCTTCTGTGCACCAATGGACTTACTGTCTATGTGCCCGTTTAGCACTCGCGAAGGAAAACATCGTGAGGCAACCAATCTTAAACCCAAAACGTCGACATATTTCGGGAACAGAAGCTTTATCACCTACTTGCATATTAGCAATATCGCGAAACAGATACAGAATTCTGAGGCCCAAAACTAAAAGGTTGTTTTAGTTTTTGTAGCCTTGGTATATATGTATATATATAAATATTTTTTTTATTTATTTCTGTTTTTATAAAATAATATCGCAAGCCATTGGTGAAATTATTTTCAAAATCGGTTTTAATTAACTGTCACAGGATTTCTATTTCCATTCACTTAATAATAACATTTACTTAATATCTCGAATCTATAAAAGCAGTAATTTAATTTCTAGATCCTCGGTATAGTTGCTGGATGTCTTCTACACGACCATGAGGAACATGGCGCTAACTTCCAACAGCTACCATATCATAGAATGCTTTTGATACTCCTACTAGACATGAACATGGCTGAACCTGTGTTGGAGTCGATGAATTATCAGGTTAGTTAAAAGAAATTGTAATTCAATCAACTCACGCAAAATCCGCGCTGCTGTATCAATGTGTTTAATAAAAAGCTTTGCGAAATTTTTATTTATAAGCATTATTTAATTTTAAAGTTTAAATAAAAGACGGTTTAACGTTAGTCTTACGTTAAATTTAAAGGTACATATTAGTCCTTGTCTGGCCGATTTTCATGTTAAATATATTGTAATACCTTCAATAGGGTATATGCTTATGTCTATTGCTTGCATATGCGACTGAAATTAAATTTTCTTATAAACATCTTCATAGCTCGCGGCATGCGTAAACAATTGTTATAGATTATTTTCCCTTGTGTATCCTGCAATATGTCTGGTAATTAAGCTGAACTTAAATCTCTAATACTGGGTTAATTATTATATAATTCAAGAAACGAGCAACGCGATTACTGTTATGTTGAGGATTGTAAATCCCTTATTCATTAATACTCAATCAGTCTAATTGCCCTTTTATCTAAAGTACCTTTAGCGCTAATACTTCCGTATGTCATAAATGTGTTGTATTTGGTAGTTATAGTTTGCGTTAAGTCTCGTTTCTGAATTACCCTCTCAAATTATGCTTTCGCTATGACGAGAGAAGACAAGCACAATACTTAACTGAAAACGTTGCAATTGTTAATTTAATTTGTGTATCTAATAATGTCTCGTTATCAACAACTCTGAGTACTCTAACGTAACTGTAATCTATGAAATTTAATATTTACAGGTGCTTACCGCGTTTTGCCATACATTCAGAATAATTCGTCCAAGCCAAGCTCCTGGATTTGCCTACGCGTGGCTGGAACTCATCGCACATAGATCGTTCATTAATCGTGTGCTGGCAGTTACACCACAACAGAAGGTATTTATTATGTCTAATTGTATTCTTTTCTACTGATAAGTTTGCTTTTTTGAGCTGGCAATAAAATTAAAATATATTGTAGCTGTAGACATCAATTAATCTCTCTATGCTGATATTTCTAAAGATAATTTGCGTTGCCTTTTAGAAAAAAATTTAGAAAAATGTTATGTTCATAAATATTTTATATTTTTGAAAATAAGGAAAAAACATTCAAACAGGCTTATAGTATGCTAACAATTAAAACCTATCATTTTTCTAGTCCATGCGTATAAAAAAAATATTATGGTATTTTATTGACAGCTATTTATTTAAATTTTTCTTTAGTTAAATGAAGCTGAATTGTATTATAACAGTCTATTTAAACGAAGGAGAAAGTTATCAATACAATATATATTTTATTTTATGACTTAAATATTAATCTATAATACAATGAAGCTTAAGCAATGAATCTTAGCATTTATATTATAATAGATTTGGTTGCTATGTCGTTTTAATTCATTAGAACACATATCATTCAAGTTTGATCCTAGCGATCAAATAGCCTTCAGCTAAAATAGATACTATTTAATCCATGGATTCTTCATTTACATAATTTTAAATGCTTTTTAAATATCCCTAAATAGTTTGATATTTGCAATTATGTAAGAGAAGAAAGTGAGAAATAGAGAATATATGAGGCAAGGTTTCATTTGGCACATAGCTAATGTATTTATCATTGGTAGTAAATATTAACGTGAAAATTTCTTATGTATCACAAGTTGGTGTATGTACAATAAAGTATTTTTTTCAAAAAGTATATTTCGTACCACGTGTATTATGTTGAATGCTTTAGATGTTATACTATAACTTAAGAATTTTGACATAAAACTATACCGTTGTTTTTTAATTTTATGCCACCAAGTTATTCGCACTGGTAACACAATTCATTAATATTCTTATTAAATGTTAAAAATAAAAGTTTTCCTGTTTGCTAAAGAGTCAAATCATATTAAATTATTTTGCTTAGTAAGCTTCAACTGACGAATTGGATAATTCGATGTAATGACAGACTAAATATTTAGAAATCTTACAATTTCTCACATAATATACTGAGAATTGATACATTCGCCTGTTCATACGAACGCCGACGCCCATTGTAATGCTTTTTATTTTGTATTACCCGCTTCGTGTGCATGTTGTCGTCAATGTTGGTGTATACTTTCTTTATTTTGTATGTATGAGACTGTGTGCTTGAACACCGTAGAACAGGCTAGTCATTGCATCGAATTCTCCCATTGCTCAATTAAGTTATACTAATATACGATTTTACTTTTCCAGGGCTGGGGAATGTACTCGATACTTCTTATTGATCTATTCAAATTCTTAGATCCATTCCTACGCAATACAGAACTCGCACCACCAGTCATGACGCTTTACAAAGGAACATTAAAATTACTGTTGGTATTACTCCACGATTTCCCAGAGTTTCTTTGTGATTATCACTATGGATTTTGCGATGAAATACCCCCTAATTGTATCCAAATGAGGAACTTGATATTGTCAGCTTTCCCGCGCAGTATGCGCCTTCCAGACCCGTTCACGCCCAATCTTAAGGTTGATTTACTAGCGGAGATAAATTTACCACCACGCGCGGTTATCAATTACGCGAATCTTATACCGTCTTCGCAATTCAAGAAAGATTTGGACGCATATCTAAAAGCAAGGGCTCCTGTTACTTTCCTATCAGAATTGAGAAGCAATATGCAGGTAATTTACATGTTTCAATGGGCAATTTTACCTATTGGGTATTTCAATTATAGAAATGTTTTATTCAATTATAATATTACTATATTCTAAACAACTCCATTAGTCGTGTAAAATATATATAGATGAATAAATCTATATATATTTTTACTAAACATTTAATATAGGTGGTGAATGAGCCGGGTCGTAGATACAACAGCCAGCTGATGAATGCAGTTGTATTGTATGTTGGTACACAGGCGATTGCCCATATTAGGACCAAAGGACAAACCCCAAATATGTCCACCATTGCACACTCGGCTCATATGGATATATTCCAGAACTTCACTGTTGATTTTGACTATGAAGGACGGTAAGACATTTATATTTCATAGATAATTTGAGTTATACGCAATGTTACAGCGTAGTAACAATATATTTGTATGTGTATTTTTTTGACTAGTTAGAACAAGCCCAATGTTCGAACTATGGCAACTGTATTTTTAGAATGATTATTTTTATTCATAAAAATCAATTCCTTATACATAAACATTGTATTTCAGATACTTATTCCTGAATGCTATTGCAAATCAGTTGCGTTACCCGAACAGCCACACCCACTACTTCAGCTGTTGTCTGCTATATTTGTTCGCTGAAGCTAACTCTGAAGCGGTTCAGGAACAAATTACAAGGATGTTACTTGAGAGACTTATCGTGAATAGGCCCCACCCGTGGGGTCTACTTATAACCTTTATTGAGTTGATTAAGAATCCAATTTATCAATTTTGGACTCACGAATTTGTCCACTGCGCCCCAGAGATTGAAAAGTAAGTTATTTGTGGATTTTTTTATTACTCAATTCCAATAATGTTTTATATTGTTCCATTCTTCAGATATTAATTATCGCTTTTTATTGCTAATTTAGCACTTCTTTAGATGTTTATTTTAAAATTGTTTGGTATATATTGATGTATTTTATTTTAAAATCATACTTTAAAGCCGTAAAACGTAAGTCAATGTATTATTTGATAATATTTGAAATTTAATATATCTGAAGAAGTGTGTTGGCATTATGACGATTCATAACTAAAATTTTAAATAAGGAATTACGAGGGGACGTTCTATAAATAGTGATAATGCGATACATTCTCCTTGGAAAGAAAAAACATAATAAAAATCAATCCATTCTCTTATGTTTTATAAGAAATAGTAATTTGTTTTAAAAATTAAAGTTCGGCCGGTACGCGATTTTTAAGGGATGTCTACGTTTTTTAAAAACAAATCTTGTCTTTAGAACAAAGAAAAATACCACGAAAAATAAAATAACATTTATAACAAAATAATTGCGTCATACTCATTATCACTTCTTATTGAACACCCCTAGTACATATCCGAACTTTTCATGCGAAATGTTTTATAAACATTCTATTGGAAATGAGTTTAGTCTGGCTTACGCGAATTAATTTTGTGGTCCCGCTTTCTCAAGTGCATATGGTGCTATTTCTTTATAAAATTATGATCATTTCAATTGATCCCTATACTTTTATATGATAAATTAAATAAGGAAAGATCAATTAATTACGAGCCATAATATTATGACGATAATATTCGACCACAAATAAAGATTGGGCGAATATTTGCATGTTTGATAGAGTATTGTACGAATAAAAAATTACGAACGTAATATTGACGCAGTGTCTGGTTCTGTAAAATAAATCTACGCCAATATTAGAAAGATTATATATTTATCTATTTGCATTGAGTAGGCTCCAAAACTACTGGTTTTATTTGAAAATTACCATTATTACGTTTTATTACCCTACAATAAAACGTAAAATAACCCCGTCGAACATAGGCTGTAAAATATTAAAAAAGTCAATTCTGAACTCTTCGGTAATGTAAAGAATAAAATTGTATCGCGTACGCTGAGGAAACTATTGTCAATAAAGCAGTGATGTACTACGTTTTCTATAATACAGTAATATACAAAAATGAAGTATATATATTAAAAAAGTATTAGATATCTAAAAAAATCTATTTGTTTTTAATAGAAAAGTTCATTTCCGATACTCTGTGAATTATAAACCAATTTGATGGATGGTGGATTTTACCATATTTACAAATAAATATATTGGCGATACAACGAAATTCGATAATCAGGTGTAGCGCGAAATAATAATGTTTTATTTATTGCAGGCAGCACACAACTAAATAGGTTCAAAAATGCTTTCTTTAAATAAAAATTGCCGTCTATAATTAATAAATCATCCATCCATCAATTACTAATGTGAAACCGTTTTGCCATCATGATTTTTGTGTTGATTTTAACTGAAGCCAAACGAGCGTACATTTTTGAGTTGTGAGTTGCGTTATTTCGGTCGCGTAATTTCGGCTGCATTCGGTTTCATACAAAAGTCCTGTTTCATTCACACGGCGAAGCAAAATAAGTTGTCTACCGACTCACACGCATTATTCGGACCGAATTGAGTTTGCGGGGGGCGAGGGGGCCAGCGCGGGCCGAGCAAAGCGTCAGTCAGGATTTACCCAGCATCTTTTTCTGGCATTATCTACTTCTTCGTCTTCTAAATATGTAAATACACAAAATTTTCAACGGTTCCATTGCACGACACAAACATCCGCTATAAACGTTCGATAGTAACTGAATAAAATGCGCTCGTCTGGCATCCCAACAGAATTTTTGCGACTCACGACTCACAAAATTACGCTCGTTTGGCCTCACCCTTATTGTTTTTAAATTTAATTCATGTACCATTCCATGTACCATCAACTTCAATAAACAGAAGCAAGTTAATTAAAGAGCTTACTAAGATTCACGGGCCAGATTATAAGCCATACATTTTGGTGATAGAGATTATACAAAAACCAGCTAAACCTCTCTACTCAAAAGTACTGATGCAGTGTCCGAAGGAGATTAATGAACTTTTTTGATAGATTTATTAAAGTCATTTTTAAATATTCATCTATTATTTTTTCCCGGCATCTTGGTACACCCCATTCCAAATTCAAAATTTCACTTCCTTTTATAACCCTCTCATGAAATTCTTGGTAAGTTAAAATGTTTCTGTAATAAATAAACTAATAAACTAATTAAAAGAATCAATCGACAAACAATGAATGAATAGTAGGTAACATAGGTATTCGATACAAGAGTTGGTCTAACTGATTATTATATAGCGAATTATATTTCCGTGCATGTTTTTGTTAGGGTTAATAAACAATTGGGATTTCTTCTGAGTTATATTTCGTCATATTGTATAAATTTATTGTAAATGTATTTAACACTTAGGTAAAGAAATATTACTTTGTATAAAATGCGTTCTACGATAGCCTAATATTAAAAAACTATTACGCTATAGTAAAACGTACGCTAGCGAGCTATTAGAGATTAAATACTTCCGAATAGTAGCATATGTTCTGTGCATGGTAAATAATAATTTGGGTGCTTCGTAGCTGCTTGTAAATATAATCATGGTACAAAAAACTTAGTCACTTATGTTTATTACCTTTTAAAGGTATGCATACTAATTTTCGTACCATGAAGTAGATTAAATTGATAACTGTTTTTTTTTACTTTTGCTGTGCTTATATGCTTTAACAAAAACTAATGCTTATACAAAAACTTGCCAATTATCCTTATTTGTGCTAAGGGTACTGAATGGGATGACGCCTAACGCCCGAACCCAATAACCTATTTCAATCCATATTCCACCATCTGAGCTAGTAATCTTAATCCAAATGTCGTAACGAGTGTGCCAATAGCCAATCGACGGACTGTAATAGCGATCTGGCGATACAAGCAAGCCATGGGAGGTCGTATCAGTGTCTGTGGTAGTCCTTTGTATGAAAATGACAGTTGACAAAAGCTCGATTTCAACAGTTAATTATTTTCACAGATTTTAACTTGCACCAGTTTTTTAAATAATTAAAAAAACTGTTATGTTTTAAACATACACATGAATATTTTAATGTTATTTGTACGGTTTTATTTACTTTATTTGGTTTACATTGATTATTATCAAATATGAGTGAAAACTCGGTAAAATGAAACGCCAAAGAGCATTTTATCCGTCCGTTTATAATTGTTTTCGTAGGGTTTGGTTTATATTGGGATGCAGATAGGAGATCAATCGACTGTCACGGTCTGATCACAGATTGTTTTCAATCAGAGATTGTGGATTGATTATTGGGTTGGGGCGTTAGTGAATAACACAGAATGTATCTAAAATATGCGATTGGTCTAATATTAGGTCCTTACATATGAAATTGGCGTTTTGTATGGGAGACACAAAAAGTCGAATATTTTTAAATATAATATATTTAATTAATCAAAATATGAACCATTGTTTTCTATGCACTTTTGCCATCTCATAGGTAGTTCATTGATCCTTTTACTAAAAAAAACAGTCGGACGGGAATCAATAAAATCTGTGAAGGCGATTTGGACTGCCCCATCAGAGTTAAATTTTTTCCCTTGCAAGAAGTTGTCCAAATTTCGAAAAAAATGGTAATCTGTTGGAGCAAGGTCCGGGGAGTACGGAGGATGTCTTAGACATTCCAATTGAAGCTCTTCTAATTTGGTAGCCGTCTGTTGTGCAGTGTGTGGTCTAGCGTTGTCGTGAAGTAGCAGTGGCGTGGAGCGATTGACCAGCCTAGGTTGTTTAGCCGCTAGCTTTTCCATCATGGTTTGCAATTGACAATACTGACAATAGACATCAGCCGTAATAGTCTGGCCACATTTGAGAAAACTGCAATGAACATTACCGGCACTAGTCCACCAAACGCTTACAAGTAACTTTTTTGGGGTTAATTTTCGCTTGGGGCAGGATTTGGCTGGCTGGCCAGGATCCAACCATTGCGCTGAGCGCTTCCGATTATCGTAAAGAATCCATTTTTCATCACAGGTAATGATTCGGTTTAAAATACCTTCATTATTGTGCCGGTTCAGTAAGGTAACGCAGCAGTCGACGCGCGTTTGCCGGTTTGCTTCAGTCAATTCGTGAGGTACCCATCTTTCAAGCTTTTTAATCTTCCCAATTTGCTTCAAGTGAATTAAAACAGTTTTATCACTAACACCGCAGCCTGCAGCTAACTCGGACGTGGTTTGCGATGGATCCGCTTCCACAATAGCCTTCAAAACTTCATTATCAACTTGGTTCTCAGGCCGTCCATGGGGCTTGTTCTGCAGGTCCAAATTTCCAGAACGAATACGTTGGAACCAAAAACGAACTGTGTTTTCTTTTGCAACATGACCGCCATATACATCATTCACCCTTCGAGTCGTTTCCGCAGCACTAGTGCCACGGCAGAACTCGTACTCGTAAATAATGCGATACTTTAAGTTTTCCATTTTGTAAAATGAGTGACGCAAACACAAAAAAAACAAATGAATGACGGTCATCGAAGCACAAATACATGAGTAAATAGCTGTACAAATTTTAATTTGGAATTCTTAACCAAAGAGGAGATATTTGAGGTCAAAGTGGCCAAAACGTAAAACGCCAATTTCATATGTAAGGACCTAATACTATAAACCTGATAATTCCTAAAATGTGATATTTTTCGACGTATGTTGGAACAATCAATATGAATGTCAAAATATTTATTTTTAGGAAGAACAGAACTGTTTAGTCACTTACACTAAGATTAACATAATATTGTTTTATTATCTAGATTGTTTGCGTCTGTGGCTCGCTCGTGCATTGCGGACAAGACGGGTGCTGGAGGGGGTGAACGGGATATAGTTGAGTAGCGCAGAGCCATTTGGGAGGCGGTCCGGTTTCAGCACACTTATCAGGCCTTTACCGGTGAGTCTTCGTTCATGTGAAATGTTATGTCATGTTCATGGCATAAACCTCTGCATTTTAGGCCAAACATAGCATTCATACGGCATTATGAATAGTCGAATAATAAGAATACCAACATAAGTCAAGCCTTAATAGAGATAGACGCCTTACCAAATACCTAATAGATTTACATGTTTTTCAGACTCCCAAGATGCGCAGGCGGACAGCATTCCGCTTCCCTCCGCATCGACGAACGTTGACAAACAAAAGATGACATGGAACCAACTTTTTAAGAAATAAAAATGTATGTGTAATTAAAAAGGATATTTTATAGATGATTTAATTTAAATAATATAATTCTAATAACCCCAACATAATATGATAATGGATTGATTATATATAAAGTTTTAAATAAACTCATTTTAATCCTCGTCGCAAATAAAATCGTGTTAAATTGATGTTTGTAAAACTTTTAACATAAGACTATGAATAAATTTTAATAATACCTAACAGTAACGTCGTTGAACGCAATTTATCTCTACATCTATACATTGATATACAAAAAACCCAAGATGCACAGTCTCGAATAAAAGTAACGCTCGAAAGTGTCCCGAAACACTATTTCTGTCTCTTTCTATAAGTTACAAGCATATATTATTGCAAAATCAACCTTACGCGAACTGTTTAAAGTTGTTATTACAACGCAGTGTACTTAAAGCAATAAAATTTTACGACCGACCGTGGTCGGTAGGACAAGCTATTGAGTGGAGTCGAACATGACTTTTTTTTCATTATACATTACTATTTAGTATTTTAAGAGTGTGTTAAATTGAGTTTTAAACACATAAATATACTTTTATTTGTGCATAAATATGTATTTGGGTAGCCTATATACCCATATCAAAAAAAAAATGGTGCGTGTACTTATGTACGCGCGTAAGACGTTATACTTCTTTGGCTTTCTTTATTGTTTTTAAATACAAATATGTGTTGTATTAAATAATTATTAATAAATATTTAGCGTTAATAATTTAACAATATTTAATATTTAGTATATTATTCAATTATTAATTAATATTAATAATAATAATGATTTATTATTTTATTATATTATTAATTCAATTAAATAACTATGTATGTTTCATAACCTTTTAACTAATAAGTAACAAAAGGTCTTTGTGAAAAAGCATTGCTAAACTTCTTTGAAAAAATAATTAAAACTCTTTTATTTGTTTAAATGGTCATTCAAAATTCTTGGCATAGCTGCTAACGTCACGCATATTCTATTTCTTTTTACTTTTAGATTGTCTTATTCCCATCTCGCTCGCGCACGCTCGGGCCCATACTGATAATTTTGTGTCACGGTGCGCGCGCATCGTAAAATTTCACTCTTATAAATTTTTCATAACGCGCCTAAAGAAGTATAACTTCAAAAACAAATAATAACTGTTAAAATTGTTTATTCAAATATTTGGTTCAAAACGATAATGATGAATGGTATTTATTTTGCAAAAATCAAATCACTTATAAAGCACTTTTAAAGTACATAAATTTATTTATAAAAAAAACACAAATAAAAAAAATCGACTCCACTTATTAGAACAGGATCATTTTTATAATGCGACTAAAATAAAAAGAAGACTGTAATGCGTTGTTCTAACACTGAACAAGCAGCCATTGAAGTTGGCCGTATAGAAGTTTGTGCGTTGAATGAAGTTTTTAGAAAAAATAAATAAAAATCACGCATTGCTTGTTATAATCAGTCATAAAAACAACAAAAACTAATCAATAAAGTTTTTTACTTACCGAAAATACGATATCCCATCCTTTTTTAGCCTTCTTGACGTAATATTTTTACAATTTCTCACAGAACACTTTGACATTTTTAACGACTGCTCCCAGACGCGAGCGACGCGAGACTATTTGAAATGAGCGCACAATTTAGAATGTTGCACTCATTTTTTGGGGACGTTTTTTGGACGTTGAGTGTGCATCTTGGGTTTTTTGTATATCAATGCATCTATATAAATAGCTGAGTATTGAATCTGTCACGATAATAATAATGTCACTATACGAACATTTAAAATAAGTAAGTTTTAATAATAAGAAACTTTGTAAAATAAACGAATTTTTTATTAAATAAGTTTTTTATTGTTGTATGGCGTGTCGTTCTTTAACCACATAAAATAATGAAAACTCTTATATTTATATGAACATATTTTATCTATATACTACATTAAGCTGAAGACTTTTTGTTAGGTTGAACCTGAATATCTCGGGAATTACTGTTTCGACTTGAATTTTTTTGTTTTACGCTACAACCGAATTAGGTGAAACTGCAAATTCATGTTCATAATACAGTGTAAACTCTCGATGACGATTTCGTTATAACGAAATACATACATTTGTTCGGTTTAACACAAAACCCATACATTAATTCACTCTATATAATGCAACAGCTCTCTATAACGAAGAAATAAAGTCATATTTAGACATCAACAACATACTTAAGTGTAATTGTTTTTATAATCAGCTTACGAAACTAACCTTTGCTGCCGAAATTTCTAAGAAAGACACCTGACGTCATAAACAGCTGTCTCGCCTTTGTTAATTGCATTAAAACGTGTGCCATTATTCTTAGATTATATTGCCTACCTACGTGTATTATCAGTCGTAAACAAACTTTAAAACTGTCAAGATGGCCAGTAAAAGAAAAGCGTTATTTAAATGTGTTTAGAATAATTTACCTATTGATAGTAATAAAATTAGAAATTATTGTAGGTAATTGGTTAAATATGGTTTTGTTTTCTCGTCCCTTGAAATTCGTTTGAAAAGAGTATATGTATTTTAAATTTTTATTTGTTTAGTTCGTTTGTGAAAGAAATAAATTTTAAGAATAAAATAGGGTAATAGAACTTATTTAGTTTTACAAAAAGAGGGTTAATAATACTCACTCACTCCAAGAATAGCCCGCCGTAGAGAAGGCCGCTTTTCTTAAGCTCGGTTCGCTATCGCAGGGTCCTTTTTAAAGATACAAAATAGATTATTTCTCTATGACTAAATCGATGAATTTAGTATTAGTCCAACCTCTGACTGGCCGGCCTGGACGTCCCAGTAGCCAGAAAAGGCGAGAAGTTGTCCACATCCACACTGGTCGGAATAAGCGCGTTTTAGAGAGTGTGAGGATGTAGGTAGGTTTCCTATTACAACGTACACATTATATACCACTCATGTTTGTATGTTGACGTATGTTCGTCCACATTTTGGAACTCTTTATGTAGTCTAAAATATACACAAATTATAACAGCGAAACAAATTAGTGGAACACTTTCTTCGCCGCGGGCGGTGCCAAAGTGATTTTATACGTATTAAATGTTTTAATAACGGGATAGGGTCGCGAGGAGAACGCCCTGCGGTCTACTCGAGGGTCTATCACATCGCAACTGTTCAATTTCATACACCTCTGTGGGGTGTCGAAAATATCAACGTGTTAAGGACATAACACACTATCCATTTATAGAAAAGTCATTGCGTAGAAACTACTTAAAGTAAATACCAACTTATTCCACCTACGCAAAATGTCGTAGATGGCTATATTTAATTGAACGTATACGAGTAGGCCAGATTACTTAATTTTTGTAAATTACCAGTGTTGCGCCACATACGATACAGTATGTCTATTAGTATGTAATCATAATATACGTATAATATCGAAAATGTTTAATACTTTCTGTACCGTTTATATAATTGTATGGTTGGCGTATTATTTTTGTGGGATATAGCCAGTGTGAAAGTCCTTTAATTTGATAAAGAAATGATTTCACGGTGGTTTTCGAGCGAGTTAGCTACAAGTGCTCAGATGCAGTGCTCAAGTACGCATAAACAAATAACATCATGTGTTAAAGTGAGGTAAATGAAATGAGTTAGGCCCCGAAGTCAGTCAGTGGAACAGTCAAGCTCAGACGTTTTCTTAGTATTCGTTTATCTTAAGAGATAAAAACGTCAGCCAACAACTGGATCAAAATTTCGTAGCTTCCCGGGGAATCACAACCAGGATCATTGCATCGTCCTTGAATAATGACATAATTTAATTTGTTTCTTATAAATATCGTAGAATGTAGAATCTTACAAGAGTGTTTGAAGTCCCATAATAAATCGCATTAAACACTGTAGGATATGTTAAAGAACAGGTCAGAAATATTGTGTTTTGACATCAATCAGAACACGATTGCAAGAGAATATGTATTATTTGAGGCTGAAATTTATGAGTTAGAATTATACGTTCGCGTCTTAAACCGCATTCCCTTCGCATATACAATTATGTCTACGAACAAACGTGAGTTTGTTGTGAATATTTATTAAGATTGGATAATTTTCTCTCAATTATCCGTCAAGTTTAGAGTTGCTATTTTTATTGCGAAATTATATAGTTATCTATTAGTTTTAAAAAACTTGGCGATTAATAAGTGGTGGGATTCTTGCCTGATCTTTTCGTGCGCTCTAGGCCCGTGATGGAACTGATGTACCTGGTGTACACACTTTTTTACACGCTTTATATTAGCTTCACCTGTATGTATGTATGTAACCGACTCCTTTGGACTCGATTTTGACTCACATTAAACGGACAGATTTAATTCAAACTTTGTACACTTATAAAGAATCAGCGACAATATAATAATTTCATAGGTTTATCTCGAAAAAACAATGAAATTTATTTTAAGTCCACAAAGCAATACGATTAAATTGAGACAACACGTATTGCTGCTAGGACTAAAAAGTGGAAAATAAATATAGTTTAAAAAAACTAAAAAACACGAACACGATGTGCTTTAAAAGCGTGTTTTTTAGTTTTTTTAAACTATATTTATTACAATAAATAGTAGGCGTACATACCTCGATATATCCTTTATATTTAATAATGAAAGGCACACAATTTTCAGTCCTAGGGATGAGGAAAAAATTCTTC